CGAGTGAGAGTAAAGGCGCATTATGGGAAGCTTTACAAGAAGCATGGATTTGGGGTTTTTATGCAACTTTTGATGAGAGAAAAGAGTCAGGAAGAAGTGGTTGAATTGGAACAGGTGATGGGAAATATCAACAAGGCGCCCAAAAAGAACAGTAAAAAGAAGAAGGTAAGGTCAAAATTCAGATGTACAACTGGAAAATATAGATGACCACTGGAAAATCTGTTTAAATGTTTGATGTGCACCTGTCTGTTCCATTGCACAAATGTATTCAGTTTTAATCAGCATATCATGTTATTTTGTATTTAATTTTATTGTGAATTACTACTGTGTTAACTCGAGTTTATAAAGAATCTTGTATCTAATTTGTATTGCTTTATTGTGTTGAGTTGGTTGGGTCAAGCTGTCACTTATTTCACACATTCTGTTTTTATATTTAAACATAGCCTGATAACTTTCATTGTTTGTAAATAAGGAAGGCTATAAATTATTATTTAATCCAGCTTTCTGGGAAAACGACACGTGAAATGTTAATGTAATTGGTCATTTCTATCTTTGCTATTCATTAAACACAAATAAATATGTCTCACAGTTACGTAAACCAGCTTTTTTGATGGTAGTCAGGATGTTTTGAAATTTAAATGTAAAAGGGTATTAAATATTCAACTTATTCATCATACTTATGTTAACTGGTAAATATATTCAATTTAATACATTAATTCAATTCAAAACACAAAATTCACTTGACAAACTGACTTTAACTATAGTTATATGTTCTAATGGGGCTCCCTCATCATCAGTTTGCTCAGAAAATTATCTAACTTTGTTCCTACTTTTCCATCTGTCTGTAGTCATGTAGAAGATGCTGTTATTTTGTCTGGAATGTTCCATAGTATTGCAGTATGTTTTAAACAGTTTTACCTTTTACTCTCTACAAGAAAAGTTACACATTGCATCTATATAGTAATATAGTAATATTTTTACTGTATTACTTTAGTGCAATAGTTGTTTTAAGTTAGATTGTTCATAAGTCCAACAAATCATTTTCCAGTGGTCTCTTATGTTTTCCAAGTTGTCTGTCACTCTGTCCATACAATTTGCACATGCTAACATCCTGGGACCTACTTGTTTTAAGGTGATAGAAGGCTTTGGGACCCCTGTAGGTGGGACAGTGGAGATGGACACAGAGGAGGAAGAGGAGGAGGCCGTTGTCATGGAGCCCGAGCTGGAGGGGCCTCTCTGTGCTCTGGTCCAAAACGTCAACATGCTGCACAACATAGTGGGACCTGCCTGTATCTTCCTCAGACAAGGGCTCACTCAGAGTCAGCTTGTATGTATTTCATCATCTTACATATTACATGTAGGGCTATTAGTGTGGGAATTGTAAAATAGGGGTAGGGTTAAGTCATCAATAATATGCACAGTCATTGCCAGCCCTTAAGCCTGCAGAGTCACTGAGCTCTTAGTTACAAATCAAAGGCATCTCATTTATTATGTGTGTTGCAGAACAGATTAAACTAAATATTCAAAACATTTTAAACATTAAATTCACTTAAACGGGACATGAAACTGACTTTATAAGCTTTAATTATAGTTATATGTGGGTGTTCTTTATTATTAGTTTACTCCGAGGTGTGTGTCAAAGAATTCATGAGTTCCCCCAATTTCCGTCTACCTCCTATTCCTGCCCACTGCCCACTTATTTAATTTGATTATGGCAAAACCTCTAGAAACTGGATCAGATATGACATGGTTCAACAATAAGCAAGTGAAGTGCCACTATGAAGACGCTGAGCATATCAATTTTGAACAGGAAGTCAGTGGACTCTATTCTGTTATTAAGTTGTGATATGTCTTTTTTTTTGTTGTTGTTGTTAGAGTTATTCCCATCAACACACACATATACACATAGGCCTACCTATTTTTTTTCCGTTTACCAGTTTACTTAAAGTCAATGTTTTAGCCATAAAAGTGACTCAAATAAAAGCATGTTTTTGATTTCCATAAAAATTTTGTTCCTTTAGCTAAAATCTGCCACAGTAAGGCTAAATCCATCTCTATGGAAAATGTACAAAAATATGGTTTAAACTTGCTGTTTCCATGGATTCATACAGGTCATGTGCCAACACCAGAAAATGACATACTATACTTTTAAAGTACCCCAAAATGACTCTTATTTGGTGTACTCTCCCCTTTTTTTAATTTTACGTTTAATAAGGAATGTATTATGAATGTATGTGAGGGATGATGGTTGGCACCTGCTTCATTTGTACCTGAACATTGTACAGTTAACATGGACTTTGAGCTAATTGCATATGGATGGATAAGGCTTGTGATTGGGGTCTTGCTCATAAATCCAGCCTGTGTGTGTGAGGGCAGCAGCAGATGGGTGAGCTCATCTGTGAACTACAGCTGCTAATTGAAAAGACCCATTATGAGCACTCTGCACTCACAGACAATGGTCACAGATGTTGGACTGAAGTCCTTGGGTTGACTTTGTAACACAGGGTGGCTTGGGATATGCAAGTGTCCATATCATATAGTATTCAAGTTTATACTTTAAACTAGACACATTTGATTTGTTGGTTGAATTAAATAGTTCCATAAACAAGTTAGCAGTAGACTATTTTACACTGAAGAAATGTCAGTTTATTTCAGATGATAATAATGACCAAGTCTGCTTTTAATACCGTATCCCACCATTTTTTAATTAAATTTTTTTTTTAGCCACTATACATTCTATCTGAAATACAGTTTTAACATTTTGGTTCCTTATCTATTCACACTTGGTGGAATTCTCTGCATCTTAGTCTACCCCAAACATACACATTAAATTAAATACTGTTTTGTCATGGTGTACCTTCCAGAATTGAATATTATTATGATTATTCCAGTATTTAAAAATATTGTGGAATATTCATGCAGATGCCATTTCTTTGCTTGAAAAGCTTCACAGTGTGGCATTAGACATCTGTTTCTGAGGAGACAAGCAGATGCCACCAGGTCAAAATAAAGATCAGAGAAGTGACGCTGCTCACCGTAAGAAAGGATGGTCCAAAGCATCTCAGTTGGCATTAGTAAGGCTGGCGCCATCTAGTGCCTCCACTCAATTTCATTTCTCTCCAGCGACTAGGTCAGGAATTGGAATACACTTTGACGATTTGCAAGAACCTCAGAAGTTGTAGACCGTACGCTGGCCAATCAGGCCTTCAAGAGCTGTGAAACCATGACGTCAAACTCAAGCGCCTGTCTGGTAAACAGTAAACAAAGTGATCGAGATGGATGTAGACGAAGCCATACATTCTGTGCTGGCAAGCCGGAACAAAGAGAATACTTGATTAATTTTATCAAGGGAAAGACGTTTTTTGCCCTTCTTCCTACGAGATTTGGTGCATTGCATATGTTATGACCAAAAAGAAGTGATTGGTTAAATAAAAAAACTTATCTGCCTACCGTCGAGTGAACTAATCCTCAGACGGTTTCCACAAAGTGAAACCGGCTGATTAATCAGGTTAGGTTGGCATTCCCATCTCCAGAAAGGTTACATAGTGCAGCTTTAAATAACAAACACAAAATCCCTAATGTATACATACGAATTTCATGTTATGGTATTTATTTCTCATGTGTCACCGGGAAACCCTATAGTCAGGGGAAAAATGGAAAAACTGTTAAGCCTCTGTGATTTGTAATACAATTTAGAGCTGTAATCTCTGTTGTCTCCCTGTGTGCCTTAATCCATCCTGGTATAATTCATGTTCAAGATGCTATAGCAATGCACAACACACACACATTCATTTAATTTGAACTACAATTGATACTTTAAAAGCTGGTGTCATCAACATTTTCTAAGGGTGTGAAGTTAGCTGGAAGCATTGCTCTGTTAGAATCTCTGTTACTCAAATTAGACTTAATGAGTTCTTTTTTAAAACAATCTGATCAGAATTCTCAAATAACATTACAATGACAAGCTAGCATCACCCATCAGTTTTTCAGTTACTATCATCTTTTTGGTTGAAAATCAAAACTCGTGACCATGAACGCTTGAAAATCAGTTGTGCTAATGTGTCTGTTGTGTCACCATGGTAGCTGTTGAAAATTCCGCCAATATAGAGACACATGTAGAACACCTCCAGCATGATGTCACTGCATAGTATCAATAGGCTAGATGTTACTGACCTTTACTGCTGGGTAAGTTTTCATTCATTTTCATAGAGTTTCCTCTGCAGATTAAATCTCTATTGTATAATGCTTGGATTTGTGATATTCTGCCTAAATACATGTGTTTTGAACTGCAGAGCATATGCACAGCAGTCTGCAAAGTCTGTTGAAAACATGAGATAGGATGATATTATGGGACAGATCAAATGTTATTATAGGTTTGTCCAGATCAACCAGTTGTGTAATACGCATCAGAATCTCCCCTGGATAAACGTGGCACAAAATACACTGGGAACGAAAAGACTTTAAGATGATTTCAGTCTGCATCACTGTCTGTAATACTTTTTTCTGATCAACATTTTGTCCCTGTGAAACTGCCACAGCTTGTTGCCTTTAATATAATAAACTCAGACTGTACAGTTATAGTTAAATATTGTTTTTAGTGTTCCCCTGTGACCATTCTCATCTGCTGTGTTGTATACAGTATAAACATTAGACATAATACAATTTATGCAAATAGTAAAAAAAAAAAAAAAAAGTAAATTCATGCAGAAGTTTATTATTCAGATGTTTGGTAAGTGACATTATGTTCAAACAATGAAAGGCAAATGTTTTAAATGTACAATCAATAACATAGTCTTCAAATTTATAATTCTGTAGTTGCGCCAAAAAGCTTATTTTTTCAGAGTTTTCAGATTTGGCCAATTCAAAATAAATGTTCTAAAAACTATCTTTAAATGTATTGGTTGAGGTTTTAAGTATAAGACAAATGTGGACTGTAAAATTACCTACAAATGTGAAGATCATGTCATGCTCACTTGAATGATTATGACATAAATTTTGATACATTTTCATTCTTAATCTACTTATTTTCAAGCATTTTTAAATTGTGTATATTTTTTCAAATATGACCAATAATTCAATATATTACCTATGTCTGTTCTGTACAATGTTACTGTTACTAACATTTATTCTCTTTGTGTCTTTCATGTGGATTTCTGTAGGATCGGGATCTACGGCCTGAAGAAATGGAAGGTACCTTGAAGTAATTTTTTGTGAATATTTCCCCCTAAATATCAGGGTGGGTAAAATATGCCTGAAGTGACTTAAGTGACTTCAAACCTGGAGCAGTTTTATTTAACAGTTAGAACAAAGACTTTGATCAGTTCACTTTAAAGGTCCACTATGTAACTTTTTGGCTGGGGGTCCATCATCTGCTTGTTTCTATGGATATGTCATTGACCTGCTGGGAATGTTCCGCAGTATGACATTAAACAGCTCTATCTTACATTTATTAATTACAGGTGGTTTTATAGCTCAAAAATAAAGGAGGCTTTCTTACTGTAAACGGAGTTGCCTCTCCACAGACTTGACCCATAACTTGGTCTGTTCTCCATGATGATAAAACCAAACCACACTGTGAAACATTACAGACAAAGCAAAAATATGTCCATGGAGAAAAATATTTGACGGACCCTTCACCAGCAAAAGTTATACTATGCACCTTTAAATGGTATATTGCCTTTGTCAGAAAGTGATTTTATTAAGTTAATAAAACACTTAGTACTGCTTATTAAGAGTATAATTGCTCAACAGAAGCACCTCTTGCTTATAAGCACTCCCTAAAAGTATTAATGGGAAGAAAACAGTTAATGACTGAAAATTTGCAAATTATGGCCATAAACAAAAGCAGTAATAAGCACTTGATAAATAGTAAAAGAGATGTAATTATTTTACGTTTTACTATTAGTTATCAAATAATATGTAGTTAATAAACGAAAGTGTTGTTTTAATGTGTGGCCAAGCAACAAAGTGAGCTGTCCTGTGCATAGAAAATCTGTGACAGCTGAATACAGAGTGTGTATTTTGTCTGCAGAGCTGCGTGAGGCATTCAGAGAGTTCGACAAAGACAAAGATGGCTTCATCAGCTGTAAGGACCTGGGCGAGTGCATGAGGACCATGGGGTACATGCCCACAGAGATGGAGCTGATCGAACTGAGCCAGCAGATCTGTTAGTATCATACACACAACAGGACATATATAGATGATTCTGTATGAAATATACAGTTGCATAAAGACACTGAGTGGAGAATACTGTCATTTGTTATCAGCTGAGCCAAATGGATTACAAAAACATAGATGGATAACAATTGCTAATCTGTCTGGGTGCTTTGTTGTTGTTTTTTTGCTTTGGTGTATGCATTTTAAGTCTGTGTGTTTTCATATTATATAGAAATATGTATTGCGATTTTTCATATAAAACAAAAATACAAAACAAAAAATAACAAAATGAACATAGAAACAATACATTTAGATGAATAAAGCAGCTGCAGACATGTATGAACAAAAACTGTCCCACTGGTCAATTGCCACTTCCTTCTTTAAATGTTCCTCCTCCCTAGTATCTTCTCACGCATGCAGCATGGTTCGTCCTTCCTCATTTTTTGTGTAAGACTATTCAGTTCCTTCCACATTTTCAAAATTAGTCATCTTCCCTGTCCAGTACTTATCACTCAGAGCCTGAAAACAAGTTTGCTCAGATAAGGCACTTGTCTGTCGTCCTCAGCAGACGCAACTCTTTTTTTATCTTTGTTCGAACTGCGTCATAGAGAACAAGCCTGATGCTGAATAGAAAGGTCTTTATATTTTAAACCACATCAATGCCCCATGGTGAGAATTAACAGTAATATTGAATCTCTTACTTGTGTGTCACTTCACTTCATTAAAAACCTGCTGGATTTACCAAACAATTATGAAATGCTTTAATCAATTTGATAATCTAATTTGACTTTTAATTACATAATTAGGTAATTGTTTTATGTGATTAAACAACAGATGCTCCCTTCCCTAATGAGCTACATCCAGATGTGGCACAACCCATAGTCCAAATACACTAAACTCATAAAACTACATCTTCAGTGGAGCACTGCATAACACATCTTGTGACGACCAGCTTGTGTCCTTGGAGATGTTCCTGCTTTGCTTGGAAGTTAAACAGATATCTTCCAGTTATTCAATTACAGGTGTTTTTATTGCTCAAAAATGCATTGACAACATTCATTTGTATGCATGTCTCCATGAAGATAAGTTTAATGTCTGTGGAACTTTCTAGGCAATACAATAACATCTCCATGGAGGCAAGTAGGTAGAAAATTACACAGTGTAAACAGAGATTTTGAATGTGCTCTAAATTCATTTAGCTGAGGTGTGTTGTTTCTATTTCATATAGTTTATGTGACTATACTTTTTTGCAAAACAATATTGTCAATGCAAAAAACAACTGCAGATGTCAACCTAATGGGTTGGATTTTGCTCTTTTAGGCAGTGGTGGAACGTAACAAAGTACAAGTAGTAAAGTACTGTACAAATTAAGGTATCTGTACTTAACTTTTTACTTTTACTTAACTACATTTGTGAGAATGTATCTATACTTTCAACTTCACCAAATTTTTTACTTGACTGAAAATAAAATAGATTTTATGATAGTTTGAGTGACACCTGCTGAAAATCCTACAGGGTTTATTTTGATCAAGTTCATAGTTTGAGCAAACAAAAATATACAAATAAAAAGAACTATAGGAAAAAACAAATTCATTTTATCTTTTGATCAAAATTTTGCACAAATCTGTTTTCTTACTTTACTTAAGCAACAAAATGTAATACTTCTTCCACTACTGCTTTTAGGTCAGCATGCATGTGGGTTATCTCTGCCCCTACTTCCTGCAGTTACTTGGTCATGTGGGGCTGCTAAATTGTCCTCAGTGATTAAGTGGCATTTGTCCAGGCCAAAGTCATCCTCCTAATTCAGCTGGGTTAGCCTCTGTTGCCCCAAATAAGTATTTGTTACCATCTGTGTAACTGATTTGTATTTTGCTAACAGTGATTTTCTGAATATAGCTTTGTTAGAAAACTAAGTAGAAATACAACACTGGTAAGTTCTTTATAATAACTGCACTTTAATTAGCTTTAATAAAACATTAGAAAAGGCTAATTTCACAATGAATGTGAAATTTTAGAATGATTCCAGATGTACTTGTAATTAATATCCCAACCCCTTGTAATTAGTAACCCTGAGTCATTCTTAATAAAATATTTGTTTATTGTAAGTGTTATCAAACTGTTTTGGTTTTTTTTGCAAATTCATCTGCAAGTAAAGATTTCGCTAGGGGGTCAATCCTGGGTCCTGAGAGAGAACTCTACTCATGTGATTATGTTGACTGGGAATGTTTATTTTGATTAAAGTTAATTTAAAAAAAAATTATATTATATATATTTTTATTTTATTTTTATTTTTTTTTCTATATATACTCTCTCTCTCTCTATATATATATATATATATATATATATCTCATACTAGGTCCATTTGAAAGTTAAGGGTAATTTGAAGACAATCTGCTCTTGTCCTGTAGGTGGAGGCAGAGTGGACTTTGAAGATTTTGTGGAGCTGATGGGTCCTAAAATGTTGGCCGAGACAGCAGACATGATCGGAGTGAAGGAGCTCCGGGACGCCTTCAAAGAGGTATCACAGTTTATACAATGTGGTGTTGTCACAGTACAAAAAATTCTAACTTGATTTCAATACTAGAAAAGAAAATATTCACACTAGTTTTGATTTACAGCAAGACTAAAATGATAAATCTATATAAATTAATATCTAGATTTAGTACTGATCAATATCTGGCAATCGATACTTTGGACTTTATAGTATTGCTGGGTTTCAAATTATGACAATTTTCCATAGGCCAATATTATTTAAATCTGATGGGGCAGTTTATTGTTTTGTAATATAATGACTTCTAAGGTCTAGTCGCTATTAGAAATCAGTGTCAACTTATCTATAAGTAGGTAAACTTGGCTCCTTCCCTCATCAGGGAGTATGACATTGTTGCACTAGAACTCATAATTACAGCTACATTTGATTCGTATTGTTGTTTATTGAAATGGTGTTGCTCAGTTTGACTCAGATGGTGATGGTCAGATCAGCCTGGCGGAGCTGAGGGAGGCCATGAAAAAGCTGATGGGCGAGCAGCTGCATCACCGCGAGATCGACGAGATTCTGAGAGACGTGGACCTCAACGGGGACGGGCAGGTTGACTTCGAAGGTGAGGAGAAAAATAAAGAGGTCACTGATAAAATGCAAAATCGCTCACAAGTCACTATATATAGAGGACAAGCCATGTTTAATTGTTTTACATAATATGTGAACTTACAGTGCTTTCCAGAATAGAAAGGATTGTTCAGTCAAGTTGAAATAGTTTATTATTATGCACTATGTTCCTGTTTTGCATTATGGCATTAAAGAGTCCATATTGTGCCATTTTCTGTTTTTTATGTTGTTTCCTGATCACAAACGTACATGGAGTTGTGTTTTGCTTCAGTCACACATGTTTAAGACACACATAGTTCTTCTCTTAAACAGAAAACCTTCACTAGAATCATTTGGATTATTTCAGACCTGTGATTGCCAATTTCTGCTAAACTAAAGGTAGAAGGTAGCTATTAACTTAAAAACTACTGCTTCATGACATCACAAGGCACTGCATTTTGAGCTTTGGTTATGTACTAGTAGACAGATTAATAATAAAGGGTTACTCAAACATGCATGAACAAAAAAAGCACAACTCCAGGTATTTTTTAAATAAAGTAACCAAGAGTTAATTTTGAATAATGTAGGACGTTTAACTTATTACTTATTCCTGGAGACAAGTAGATGGTACATACATCCCCAACAGAACAGTCACAGAGTTTGCATAGAAGTTGTCAGAAAAGTAGTCTACTACTGCTGGCTGTCCGATTTACATTTTCTTGAATGCAGGAGGACTTGGTGCCTTCAAATTCAGACTATGATATTTTTGTCCCAAGATAAATAAACTAATGTCAGATATATATTTTTACAGAGTTTGTGCGAATGATGTCTCGTTGAGTCCTCTCCCAATTCCACTGGAGCTGCACTGATTGACAGTCTCTTGTATAAATTATCTATTGTGTTTTGTCAAACTATCCCTTTTATTTATTTATCATTTATTTATTTATTTATTTATTTATAACATGCTACTATGAAGAATGTTTACAGATATGACGCTGGAAGTTTCACTGAGGAATACCTAGCATCCAGCTACAAACTGCAATGTCAGTTTCATTACATTATAGGGTTGTTCTTATAGCATGTGCGGATGTCGAGCACTTTGTGGACTAAAGTCTGTGTGGATAACTAAGTCACTTCTGTATCTTAAATGTTATTTTTATGTTAAGAGATTATACCTGGAGAGAGACCATGTTCTCAGGATGTGGGCATTTAGTGCAATATAATTTAAATCAAATACAATTCATTACATGCATATAGTGAAATCCATCAAGGGCTACCCCGGTGTGTTTGGATTTGGTTTAACAGTAAAAGCCCGCTTGATCCATGTATGTGCATGTTGAATGATTGTAGAGATACATGTAAAAAAAATAAATAAAAAAAATCCCGGTACTGTTTAAAATATGAGCCGTGACAATATATAAGTATTCTGAGTGTCACTGAAAGTTAAGTTAGTAAAAACTGAAAAAGCTGTTAGTAGCCATTGAATTCATTGCAATAAGATAAAAACGCTTTATGTAATTTTGTACAGCATGTATTCAACAATGAAAGCAATTTGCACTGTAAATAATAAAACAATATTGGTCAATTTAGTGTTTTTCTCTTTCTCTACAGTTTACGAGTTAATGCACTGTTGAAAGAAGAATGTGCTTTTTCTGTTTTTTTGTTGTTGTTGTTGTTTTTGTTGTTGTTGTTGTTGTTTGTTTTGTTTTGTTTTTTTTAATGTTTCAAAACTGCGGAGCCTCTCGATGCAAATGATAAAAAATATTCTATGTTTATGAGTCTACCTAACGTGTTTGATACAAGACATCCTTGCTACAGGCCCTGCCTTCATTATTGAATCTTACCATGAGAGGGCGCTTGTGCCACACGTAAATGGGGCCTGATTTCTAAAATTTCCATGCATGGTGCATGGTCTATTTTACGTCTAACCTGATGTAATCATGAAGAAACGCTTACGTCCCTCTTGGCGAGAAGATTCAGAGCATCATTACAGGCAAGTTATATTCGACGCACAACGTGGACCGTTACAAAACCCCTCAGCTGCTTTAGTTTTAGTGACTTTTTCTCTTTTGCATTTGAGCAGAGCAAAAGTCAAAAACTATGCAACACATTTTATCCACATGTGTCGGTGCTGTTGTTTAAGAACTTTTAAGGCCAGCTTTTATGCATATCGGCCTTCATGAATATCTATGACAAATGCATAGTCAGTGTTGGAAAATCTTTTACAGACTAAGACTCTGTTCTTCTAAGCATTAATTATGTAACTTAGGATGTTGCCTGTTGGACTTGTACGAGGGAATACCCACACAGTGATGAAGTCATGGCTGTAGTAGCAGGATATACCTCCTTTTGTGGTCCATGCTTTCTTCTCCACGTGATTTTTGTACTGGAACGTCCACTGTCGCGCCCACTTGCACACGAGGGGGTCATCATCAGAGCAGTTTGTGTGGGAAGCACCTTCACTGGCAAAACATCATGATATTACACAGTGCTGGTAGAAGAAATATCAGTTGACTCGCACTTGTTGGGCCTGTTTCTCTGGCATGAAGCTCTAAGCAATGTTTTGATGCCTCTGCTTTGTACAACTTCCTATGAAAGCTTTATCAAAGGGGCCTATTAGTTGTGGTAGCCAATCATACAATATACTAAACTTACAATAACAGTAAAAGACAAATCAAGAAAAAATATATTGAGAGAAGTGCATATTTTGTTGTTTAGCTTAGTTGCTTATACTGGAATCATTTTATATTGTACTCATTTACCAGTACTACTACCTCGCGTTTAATGCTACTGTGACTCTAGCCAGTCTACTTGTAATATGGCCATTTTGTAGTGATAATAATACAGTGGGCTGTCTGTTCTCTCTTAGGATGTTTCTAGATCAGTTTTAATACATGCATCCTGAATTTCGGACTTCTGGTTATCGCGCAGTACATACTGGGAAGGGTCCTCCTAAAAAGTGAGCATCAAACCGTCATGTTTGATTTCCCAGTGGGATTATTGTCAAAGTAGATCTTTTCAAGTGTTTTGAATCATATTGCTTTTGTTTCTGGTTCTGATATTGCGATATTTTAGTTATGGGATTCGGACATCGTAATTGTGTGGTTGTTGGATCCTAACAGCAGAAAACAGGCTTTGGAAGGGAATCAGATCTGTGTGACTGCAATTCTATTTTCAAACTATTTCAATTCCCAACGGAATTGAAAAATAGCGATAAGCGACGGTGATGGGCATTATTGATACACAAGAAAGACGAAAATGGTAACCTTTGGCTGCCTAAGAAATCATCCTGAGTTTGCATTTTGTATGTGGAGCAGCATCGTAGCAAAATACCGTTTGATAAGCGAGAGGTACAGAAGACAAGCAGGCCGAGCTCACACTTTCTTGTTCTTGTGACTTTACAGCAACATCACGCCTTGGTCGCTTTGCAGTGGAAGGTGTTTCGTGGCGAACAGCTGGTGCCTTTCGCTTTGGCGTTGACTTTTTAAATTTGTAACCAAGGCTGAGCGAGGAATCGGGATTTTGCTTTGATGGCGCTCCACATACAAAATGTTCGCTGCAAACTCGGGATGATTTCTTAGGCAGGCAGAGGTTTCCTTTTTCATACTTTCCTGTGTATCAGTACTGCCCATCACCTTCGCCTTTTTCAATTCCATTGGAAAGGAAACAGTTTGAACGGAGGTTTGCAGTCACACAGATCTGATTCCCTTTTGCAATTAGGGAGTTTGCAAACTTCCGAAGCCCATTTCTCGAGCCGTTTTCCGTTGTTGGGACATCCAACAACCACACATTTACGATGTCCGAATCCCATAACTAAAATATGACAATATCAGAATCAGAAACAAAAGCAATATGGTTCAATCGTTTGACGCTCACTTTTTTGGAGGATCCTTCCCAGTATGCATTGCGCGATGACTGGAAGTCTGAAATTCGGGATGCATGTATTCGACTCCAGATTAGATTACTTTAAAGGGCTCATATTAGGCTATTTCCTGATGTAGGTTGTAATGTTGTCTGGAACATGATAGGTGACCAGCAACATCGCCATGGAGAAAAGAAGTTGCCTTCACCTGATATAGTAGGCATCTTAATCATTTATATTTTAACAAGGCTGTAATGTAATAGTAAGTAAGTATTTACATAGCGCTTTTTCACAGACATCTTTTGTGCCCAGAGACACTTTACAGAGCTTTATTCAGCATTATTCATTCAGCATTCGTTCACTCTATACCTGGTGATGGTAAGCTCCTATTGTAGCCACAGCTGCCCTGGGGCAGACTGACAGAAGTACGGTTGCCATGCCACTCAGCGCCATCGGTCCCTCCGACCACCACCATCACTCACACACACACCACTTTCACACTAGGCAATGTGGGTGAAGTGTCTTGCCTAAGGACACACAGTGATTGAATTGACTGTATTTTAATTGACCTTGACTATCAACTGTTCTTGGAGACCTGTAGCATGTTTTGGGTTGATGGGGGAAACCAGAGTGCCCAGAGGAAACCCATCCAGACATGGGGAGAAACATGCAAACTCCACACAGAAAGGCCCGGGCTACCCGGGGATCGAACCCAGAACCTTCTTGCTGTAAGGCAATAAATAAATTAATGACACATAAAAAGTGTATGTTATTATTTATTTTCAATATAACAATGCAAACATAATCATAAAAAGCATTTTAGTTTACACAGATAATTGATTTGTTCTTGAAAATATTCTTAAAACTTTGATATACATTGGCAAACACAAACCCATTTTAACAGGTTATCTCATGTCTAATATTCTTGTTAATTCATTCTCTTGTATCTGTCCTAAATCTCACATATCCAGTACTGCTCAATCTTGCAGCTCTCATCGTTCCATTCTCCGTTTCCCGTGGCTCGATGCCAGAACTCCACACAGTCCTGGTTCCGACCATCATAGCTGTTGGGCTGCCCATTTCCCCAGAACCTGCAACATGAAAGTCAAGCAAAATACAGGTAAGGCATCCTGTACTGTTGGATACTGACATTTCAAACTCGATTTCAATACAAAGGAAAGGCTCGATACCAGTTTCAATACCACAATCATGATTTAAAAAAGAGTACTTTCACACACACAAAAAAGTGTTCTTAAACTAGTTCTGAAATAGATCAAGGTGAAGACCATTCTAAAATTATTCAGGAAAGGTCAAATTTTGTCCAATTTATTTGTTTTCAGTTATAGTATATAGTATAATTACTATCTGGTTAGTATTAGTCGATGCTTATGATCTTATTATGATGTCACAAATCTGCACCTCAGTGTTGATATTTTTTAGAACATGTATGTGGTCTATGTTGGAGAATTGTTGTTGTTTATTATAATAGCATAATTCCAATTAGGTTTAATCTCAAAAGTACTTGTAATGTTACTAACATGATTTCCATGAAAGATTTTATTGACATATATGAACCAATCAATGATATCAGTGATTCTTAATCATAGAGTCAGGGAATAAAGCAGAACAGGAAATTTGATTTCATATACAGTCTATCTGTGAATGGGTTCCAGGATACTTTGTATTGTAAAATCTGGCCCAACAAGTAAAAAATAATATCAAGAAAACCAAAGTTTTGCTCTAGTTTACTTACGTAGCATTCGGGTTCAGGGTCGTCCCATCAACCCATGTCCAGTGTCCTTCTATGCCATCATCAGACAGTCCGATCCACACCTCCTTATCACTTGAGTACAGCCCATTAATGAATGCCTTTAAAGACCCAGGTACGGTACAATGTTACTTCTCTGTAGTATATGTACTGTATATATCTTCCTTATAAATATGCAGGAGTTAAATTTAAAATTGTCCTAAGGCTGGTAAATGTTGAATTTCTTAAGAAGAGGCATTCGTTGGTATTAGAATGCATTAAACATTATAGACAACATAACATGACAACGCATCTGAGTCATTACAAATAAAATGAGTCTGTGGTATTGAACAAACCATTTCTTCCCGAGAGGTTATAATGGCCAGGTCTGCCCCCCTGTTCTTACAGTAGTCCCGGCTGTTTTTCCAGTTCTTCTTAGTTTCTGAAGTGTAGTAGCAGCTGAACATGTGTGACCGCCAGCCGGCTGGACATTTCTTTGCTGAAAATAGGACAAAATCATTGGCTTGATTTAGATGTTTTCTACCTACTAATATGTCTAATCAGCCAAATGGCTGTTTTTTCAATATTGCAACTAATGCTATCCTTGCTGTTACACTCAGAGTTTGAAATGGCTCAAGAGATATAAAATTATGATTGTTGCTACAGTAATTAACATTAAAAATATTGCCTGATATCTCATGAATGGTCAATAGTCCACAAAATTGTGTTCATAGCAGTTAAAGTCATGTCTGAACCCAAAACATTTTAAAAATCAGATGTGCTTAAAGGTGCACTATGTAAGTTTTCTGGTGGGTGTCCGTCTTGTGTTTTGTTCCCTAATGGAACATTTATTTCAGGTAGCCCCTCCTCAAAGTTATATAGATAGTCCATTTTTAAACACTTTTGGACTGAACTGTGATTTTCCTTGATTTATTGCTGATGCCCATATTTATGCCAAAAATTCTGCAACACACTCGCTATTGCTTATTCACCTGCAATTGTTGAGTTGAGTTTGACCACCTCCAACTGCAGCTGATCTCTCTCCGTCGTCACATTTTTGATCTGCTCCAATAGCAAGCTCTTCTCCGTCTGGACAGACCCACAACTCTTCTCCAGCTCTTGCTTTTCCTTCAGCAAATCATTATACGTAGAGTTCAGCTGCTCTGTCGCCTTGAACAGATTATCATACATATCTTGCAGCATGCTTTTTGCTGTGGTTGCATTCATGTGACTGGTTTGCGCTTTGTCTTTTTCCATGGTAATTGCTTGCAGCTTTTTCTCGAGTGTCTCAATGTTCGCCATCAGACGGTTATAGCTCAACTGCAGCTGGTCTTTGCTTCTGGTCACGTTGTTGACAGTGTTTTGTAGGATGTTTCTTTCTTTATACAGAGTCTTATAGTTTGAGTCAAGTGTGGTTTTAAGTTTGACTGCCTGATTGAACTCCACCTGAAGAAGGTCTTTAGCTGTAGAAAGGGCTGTGTTGTCACTCTGTAGCTTGTCCACTGTAGCATTTACCTGTTGTAGATCTTTTGTCAATGCTGCATTGCTGGATTTTAACTTTGTTTCACTCTCTCTCAGTTTGACCATGTCTTGGGACAATGAGTTGTAGATATTTTGCAGCTGCTCCTTTCTTTTTGTCAAATACTCCACCCTTTTCTCCATGTCCCTTTGTCTCTCCTCCATACTTCCCTTCTCTCTCTGAAGACTTGCCACAGTGTTCTGGAGGCTGTTTTTCTCTGTGTTTACACTTTGTAGTTTGTTTAAATTCTCCTGTTGCGTTTTGCGATCTAAAGAAAATTGTAGGGGAATAAATAATGAAAAAGTTGTAACATTAGTCCACTTTTAAAGAGAATGAATAGATTTGCATACTTATCTTGTCTTTATATGAACACTGAACTTATTATTTCTATATCATCTTAATTTATATCTTAAAATACAATACAACATATTTCTCAGAGGTCAAAATGATGTCTCAATTAATCACTGAAAATCTTTCACAGTTTCTTACAAAGCAAAAAATTGGTTACTTTCTAACTTTTGCCTGTCAATGTTTAAGAAAGCAAATAATGTATTGATAAATATAATATTCATAGATATGATATAATATAAAATATGATTCATTGAAATGTACCATTGCAAAATACGTCTTTGATCTTAGCTAAGCAATCATAATCATTCATGCCGCAAGTTGATTTTGTATCATAATTCTCTTAAGAAAAAAACACCTACTTTCAGATTTTTTCCCCTGCTTCCCCCCTTCCAGTCCAGCATTTAGACTCTTTATTGAAAGTCTGTATGTAAAACTAGTAGGCTACAAAACCTGATAATCATACTTACAGCTGACTGATTCCACGATAAGTCCAATCAACAGAAGAGCACACAGGACCCCAAGACACAAAGTGGCCACACGAAAAGGATTTTGTTTTAAACTGTAAACTGAAAAAAGTAAAAGATAAGAAAATTTTTTTGATGTCTCTAATGATGAAACCTCTTGATGCTATTTTAAATGCTGATTTTTTCAGCAATACATTCTCACATTTTAAAAGTGCCACTATATAAAAAAGAAATGAGAATGAGAATAATGAATAATGACTTGGTGAAACTGGAACCAAACCAGGATTAAACAATAATAATTTAAGATTAAACCAGGTCTAAAATATAGGGAACCACAAAAGAGCTTTCCTCAATACCAGAAGTGTACCAGGAGTGGTTCCTTTACCACAGTTTAAGAAACATTTAATAAGATGGATATAGCCTGAGGAATGTTTTACCTGAGAAGGGCAGTTTGTTGGGATCCATTAGAAGTCTCTTATAAGCGATTTTACTGTCATCCATGTCCATGTTGGCCACAGAGGAGTCACGGTACTCCACACTCATCTTCGACTCTCACTTAAATCCAATAGGAGGACTGATGCTTTCATGCGCATTTTCTGATGCTTCCCATTTTTCTCTTCCGTTTTAGTTCCCCTTTTTTCTTTTAAAGTAAACTTATTCAAGATTTACTCATAGATGTTAAAAATGCATATGTAGGCAGGGTAAATCTTTCATTGGAGTTACATTTTATCATTTTGAAAATTGCAGTGTTGTGTGCTTTGTAGTGCCACTGAAAGAGCAATACCCTTACACATCTCAGTGTGTACAAATCACCATAGGCTGAATGTAGGGCAGAGAGTGTTTACATGCACCAGAATAACCTTTTTTTTTTTGTTTGTTTGTGTCTAAGAAGAACCCTATACATTTTGACTGCTGCAGATTGGTGCTGATTGTGAATGTGTCTTTGTCATATTGAACCACTTTTTTACAAGATCAACATTAAAATAAAAATAGTTCAGACCTCATTTCAAATGCTCTAGGACATGATAAAAATGGACTCTGAAATAATTACATTTGAAAAGAATAGCATCTAATCTCAATGCTTTTTATCTGCAAATATGAGCAGCCTAAAGCTGCTTTTCCTAATTATAACAAATATTTTATTTTAGCCAGTTTTCACTTCAAGCAATGAGCATATCATCAATAGCCATTAATGTCTAAGAATTTAAGAAACATTCAAAATACTCTGTTTAAGTCATGATTCACATACACATACTTCCCAGTCAAACTGTTGAATAAAACACAGCAGAACAGGAAACAGTTATTATAGGGTATATATTTCACAACATGAATCACTTGACAGGAACACAGGAAGAAACGATTTCAAAACCAGAAGATTTGCTGAATGGTCTGTTTCATATCAGCATATTCAGGTCACTGCAAAGTGTTTAGGCTTAGACATAGCAACAAGTATATGCACTGACTCACATTTAAGTTTGCTTCTAGGCATAACCTTTGCAGAAATATTAAAGCAACTCTATATAAGATTTTGATTTTAAATTGCAGAAACATGACTGATGGCATGTTTTTTGTGTTTGTTGGTAATCACACCTGCTTCTTGTGGGAATATGAGGTGATGTTTGTTATTTCTTTTTTATGTTAGAAAAGATGGAAGATGTTAAAAAATTATGCTCATACTAAAGTTAAGTTGTAACAACACACTTTTTCCACACCACACCATCATCACACAACTGTCGCTGTGTTAAAAGCCAGAGAATGAAAGTGCCCCTATTGGAGGTGTATCCTTGGAGGTTTTGAGCTTTTACATGAGAAAATGTCTCTATACACAGGTTAAAGCATTGGCAACCCAGTTTCACTTGTGATTGTTATACTGTTTTTAAAATGAAGCACAGACTGCATACATTTCCTTTTAGTTACAGTTTCTACAGGTTAACATTGAGCAGTGTGAGCAACTCTTTGACTCAAATGGGTTGATATAAGAATATAGCGCCACACCAATATCCAATATATTCTAGAATCTAAAATCTGAAAACAACCTTTATAATGGAAGTCAGTGTGTTAGTCCATATTTTCCTTATGTTGCACTTTTAGTTCATAGTGATGGTGACGGACCCTGTAGAAAAGTCGTTCTAACAAAGATGGTCCAGGCCCAGTTGAATCAGCATGGTAACCATTTGTAACACCCACACAGTGAAATCCAAGGCGTCTGTACAGGTTATGAGCAGCTGATGTGTAGTTCGTAGTTCCCAGAATGACTTTGGAGTACTTTTGAGCCGATGCAAAGTCCAGAACTTTCCGCCCTAGTGCCATACCAATGCCACAGCAACGGTATCTACGGTCCACGGACATCCTCTTCAGCTCCACCACTTCCGGGGACCTCTGCATGGCTGCAACCAACCCCACCACTGCACCGTCCAGTAGCGCCACCCATAGGCATGAGCCTGCACAGAAAACACCATCTGGTCAGTATAGGGCTAATAGTACTACAAAAATGAAGGAGTCACAATGCATTACTTGACTGATCAAAAAGCTAATAAACTTAAAGGTGCACTGTGTATACTGTCTGTTGGGGAGTTGGTCACCTGTTTGTGTCTATGGCGATTAAACTGCATTAAACTTTTCTGCCTTGCATTTATTCAGTAAGAGGTGTTTTTATTTTTCACATATACCTTGAAAAGCATGCATTCTTTATTCTTAGTTGACTCAACTCTATAATTTAGCCTAGTTTGTCACCATGGAGATAAACCACCAAAGTGGAAATTTGTTGTTCATTATTACATTACACATCAATCATTCAAAGATATAGAAGTTTATTACATATTGTGGAACATTCTAGGCAAAATCTTACAACAGAAAAGTTACATAGTTCACCCTTAACTAGTTTAGTTTTTAGAAAAACATATTTGCATGATAGACCTTCCACTAAAAAAATCTGTCTGTAATCCTCTGCAGTCCTATTTCTCTCACACACCTTTAGTCTCTTAGAATCAGTGGTATACCTGGTGCCTTCATATAAAAGTGCTCGATATCGGCCATGTCTGTGCTGAGGGCGCGCTTGGTGCAACTGTTGGTTGTTCTCAGACTGTAGAAGTAGCGAGCGTAAAGTATAGCCACTGGAAGAAGTACTATCACCCACCAGGAAACCCACAGGCATGACACTGTAAGATAACAAATCACAAGAGTCCAAGGGAGACATAGTGAACACCAAAGCTGAGCTTAATGTTGACATATTGATATTGATACTTTATACTGATTTTGAAGGGTTCTATCTCATTTTTATATGTGCATAAAATAAGAATAATTTGAATCTCAATCTTTCAGGGGTGCAGGAAATGAATATTTAGTTTTAATCTTTTGACTAAAATGATTTTTAGTTTCATCAAGATTTAGAATAATTAACAAATAATTATTTGTAAATTAATAGTTTTCATTTATGAAAATGTCATCCTAATTTTAGCTCACAATGGGTTTATTCAACCATATTTTCTTTGTAATTTATATTGCTTTGCTTCATGGGACATGTACAGGCGTGTTCTGTAGGCACTGAGTTTGTAGCCTTTACATGGTCTGGTTTGGGCCTCTTGGACTGAAAAGTGGAACTTGGTTCTAGTCTCCACTTTCTTTTTTATGTTTAGTTTGTTTCTTTACTGAAATATCAGTTTAGTTTTTCTTTAGAATACCCATTATCTGATCATACAGTTTAAATTTTTTTATGCAAATGATTTTTATCATAATTTTATAATATTTTTTTATTTTTTATTTATATTTAGCAAGCTAAAATATGACAAACTATTGTAATCAATTAAATTCATCTTGACTGTAAACCTAAGACCTAAACTGCACATGCAATGAACGGAGAGTCAGATGAAGTGGCACTTGACACCTGCAGGCTAACCCATTGGAATGTTTATTGTTTATTCGATTTTCCCCCATTAGCTTCAAGAAAAGAAATTCCACCTGAGGACAGTGTTAGTGTTTTTAGTGTTATATTGACAATTCAAGTCCTCCCATGTTTCCAGAAATCAAGTCAGTTTATTCACTTATTAGTTTAGTGTCCTGGGTGCAATTGTCCCTTCATCTCAGCACTAACTACTTTATAATTTCCATTTTTATATACTTTCTTGCATACACCCTTTGTAGTGATTTGTTTAAATGTAAACTTGAATAATTTTAGTTTGATGGTTACATTGTACAACACTATGTGCAGCCATGTTCTTACCTGTTATGGTCAAATACAGTAGCAGACTCTCTGGATGGTGTCTTAACCCTCTAAAAGCTGTGTCTGTCACCATCTCCTCCATTCCCTCTGAGAAAATACTTTGCACCTCCTGCTCATCTCGACACTGATATTCACGCACTACAACTTTTTGAATTGTTCCCGTTTCATTTTCCATTTTTCTCCATATGTCATAACAGTAATCATGAGTCCAGCAGTCTTCCCTTTTGTCTTTACATTTTTTTCTTCAAATCATAGTGGTTTGATCAGTCTTGCTTGTACAAAAACACTACAATGACTTTCAGACTCTGATAAATGCATTGTGGTTCACCAAAGATAAGACACTTTCTTATCAATCAACATGCATACACTGGTCCAGGGCGTAACATTTTGGTTATTTAAAAGTTAAGACAAAAAAGAACAATAATAATAATAGTAGTATTCAGGATGTGTTTTACCGATGTAATCTGAGAAGTTGGAGGCGTTCCTTTGATGTTACCTATTAGTATTTTATTACAACATGTTTGAGAGAGGAGCAGAAGGAGAAGAATTACAATTGATTCAAACCTATTTACTTATTTTACCTAGTACTATCTGTGACGTTGTATTTACTCACACTTACACATTAGTGAAATATTGGACATTTGTGAAAGTTTTTAACTATATTTCAAAGGTGTAACTTTTCTGGCAGACTTGCTCCATAAAGATGTTATTGATATGCCTGGAATGTTTCACAGTATTTTATTTGCCATTAAAAAAACAAGTGGATATGGCCTCCTATAACATGACCTGGTAGCATCACATCTCCATGAAGATAGTGTTAGGCGAAGTAATACTATCTCCATGGAGACAAGTATCCAGCAGATCCCCAACCAGAAAAGTTACTTAGTGCTCCTTTCATGATTCTTACCTGTTATGGCCAAATAGAGTAGCAAACTCTCTGGATGGTGTCTTAAACCTCTGACAGCTGTGTCTGTCACCATCTCCTCCATCCCCTCTGAGAAAATCCTCTGCACCTCCTGCTCATTGAGGCCCTCATATCTACGTATTACTACTTTTTTAGAACAGTTTAAACTGTCTGTTTTCCCAGTCTTCTCCATAGCTCACGAACTTGGTTGCAGGCTCTCGACGTGTACAGAGTAAAAGTGTCTGCTTGTCCATGTCCCACCCAGCCCTCCCCCATACGGCAATGTTTGTGTTAAAACTTGTAAAACAGGTTAAGATCCTTTCAAAAGCATGGACAAGAAGATAGTTTTTCTGCATATACTTATTTGCATATGCTTTTTGTAAAAAATATCACCAAAGCTGCTGAGATAAATGAAGATTAATCTCTGCTTTTTGAAGAGACACTATGTAACTTCCCTGATGGACACCTGCTTGGTTCATGAAGATGTTATTGTTTTGTTTTGACATTTGTTCTATAGTATAGCTCATAACTTGTGTAATGAAGACTCCACCAGATCAAGTTACACCAAATATTTAAAGGCAATCATACTCACAGGAAGAATGCATGTTTTTCTAGGTAATTTTGAGCAATAAAAACACCTGTAATTGAATGAAGACAGGCAATTTTTCTTTTTAATGCCATAGCAATGTGATGGTCAGCTGGAGGGAGTAAAATGTAACTCTATGGGAGATTTACTGTTTTTTGAAAGAAATCAAACTTAAAATCCACAAACATTAATCCAGATTACTCTTTGTTAAGACATTGGGTCTATGTTTATTGCCATAACAAACTTAATACTCAATTAGTGCTCAAAATGACAAGAATCAGCACTAAAGCAATTTTGGAGAAAAATATAAGTTAGTAATATGAGTTGAGTATGTGTATGAAACTATTCTTGCATTTTGTATTGTCTGTTGGTTTGGTTCCTTCTCTGTGTGTAGCAGAAATAATCTGTCACAGTTGGTCAAAGTGGCAGGTAAAATTGTAGATTTACATCAGTCCCAGCAGCAGCACATCTATAACAGAAGGGTGATTTGCAAGGCCTAACACATAATGAGAGCCCTGACCACCCGCTCTTTGAGGAGTTTAACCTCCTTCCTTCGGGGGTTACGTCTTAGAATACCCCTGATCAGAACTCAGAGAGCTTGGACTTCCTTTATTTCTGAAGCCATAACTAGGATGAATGCTCTTGTATATATACAAGAGCATTGGATCAGTCATGATTAAATGCGGTTACATCTCCTGTTCTTTTTTCTTTTTTCTTGCCTATTTTTAAGGGAATGTATGTCTGCATTGTTGAGCTAATCTTAAGATGTGGTTTAGTGTATTATTGTATTGTATTGTATGTCTACTGTATGACACTGCTGCAGAACAATTTCCCTCTGGGACAATAATAAAGTTGAAAGCGATGTGAAATTGAAGAGTTTTTGTTTCATGTGACCAGACCCAGCAATTACCATTATAACCAGAATAAACATCTTTTTGACAGTTAAAAAAAAGAATTTCAAACCTACCCTTCAGTTCACAGTTTAGTCAAAGGATCATCAAGCTTATACTGCTTTTTGATTGAATTTGACTTCATTAGATTAGTTTGAGAACCAAAACTTGTAATCAACATTTTTATGGAGACCCAAATAGGTCATGTAGATAGATAGATAGATAGATAGACAGACAGGCAGACACACAGACAGACAGACAGAAATTACAGTTCATCCTCTTGCACTCATTAGTTTGCAGGATATATTGTACAGACAAGCTCTTTTAGGAAAACATCTATTCCAGAGCTTGTTCGTGGAGCAGGACAGAGACAAGAGGCTGTCCCCAATGGTGCTCTACTGTCCGGTGATTGTCCAGTGCAGGGGTCCTATGGTTTGGGACTCTCTTCTCAGCCACAGATGTGACTGAATCAAGCTCTGTTTATATAATTGTGAAATAAAAACAGTATGCACACTACCTTTATTGTAACTAGTGTAAAATTTACTACACTGTATTTTGCTTAACTTACTTGATAATTTTTAACAGTATCGATGCTTCACTGTTCTCACCTGACTCCTGCCCTTTCATTAGAAAAAAAAAATCTAAACTAAAAATACCATGATGACAGACAAAATGTTCCTGGATGTCCAAGGATCACACTATCAAACCTCAGAAGATACTGTTTGTCCAATTGGCTCTGTTATGGCCGACATGTCGTCTCATCACCACATCCACTTGACAAAAATAGACGGAGGACAGCAGAAGGCAGAGGGGCTGGAGTGACTCACTTTTACACAGACGACTTGATAGGGTTTGAAGAAGATCAAAAAGAATCAGATCCGCAGACAGGAGCAAACACGCCAAAAGTGACATGAGGGCGGGACTGGGCATGGGCTAAATTTAACCACTCTGACGCCATTTGGGTGTGATTCATGGGAAATAATACAGAAACAATCATATATGTGGGAAAAAACTGTGGCAAAAAACAAACAACCTTTTTCTAAGTTTTTCATTATTTTCTCATTGTTTCATTTCTTAGCTATTTTTGATTTTTGCTTTTCTAGATCTGCTTGCTTTTACTGAATGGATGCATCTTAGAACAAAACTCAGAAAGAGATAAAACTAAAATGAGATTGAGCTGCAAAGAAAAAGCAGATTGCAAGGAAATAGGGAAAAACATGAAGAATACTGCAGAGAAAACAGCGGGATCTCAATGAATCAATGTCTCCAAATGTTGAACTAGGACTCACTAATGAGCCACTTCCCACATAACACTACATATCAAGAACACATGCCTCCTACACGCACGGTTACACAGTGTTCTTCAATTATTTTACTCTTTTTGCACTGAAATAAAGAAATAAAATCACATGAGGTATTAACACACATATAATTAAACAGAATAAATTGTGTGACCTTTCTTCTCATTTAATGGTCTACACACCCATAGACGTTTAGTTTTTTGTCAGCAATAGGCTGGACGCAAGATATACAAGATAATGCATGATATGCATTCTTTCAAAGTCATTTCAGTTTTGTTTTGTTTTGTTTTTTCAGTGTAGTAACTTTAACCATAATTCTATCTATCCATAATCTATTTGCACTACTATAGTTTTGAACTGGTGTATGTTTGTATTTAGTCAGTCAAGTTATTACCAGTCTTGTACTGCATTATATTGCAGAAGGACGTTTCCAGTTTGTGATCTGTGTTCACAGGCAATTCAGAAAATTGAAATTAGTGTCAGCTACTGACTATTCTTTATTTTTTATTTCACCCAAATCAATCTGACTAATGGACATATTTTGTGCATTGTTTGTTTGAACAGAGTGCAGAGAATTCACTTCAGCCTGACAGACACAAACAACACAAACTGACCAATCACAGTCACTAATTAGTTTATTTTATTTCACTACAGGCAGCACCACATTGGAAATAGTCTTTGTATACATATATATATATATATATATATATATATATATATATATATATATATAGATAGAGATAGAGAGAGAGAGAGAGAGAGAGAGAGATAGATAGATATATAGATATTTGCCTCAAAATATTTTTATATTATACTGGCCATTGGCTGCTCTAGATTTGTTTACATCAGCCTCTAAATGCCTCATATCAGTCGATCTCCAGTATTTGTAACTGTATGTCTATAGACACCATTAAAATCTTTCCCTTGTTTAGATTGTCTTGCAATATTACTAGCACTTTACAGTTTTTAAGTCTCTCTCTGTCACCAATGAATCACTGCCGCACAAAGAGTTCAAACAACAGCCAACAGCTTATCCAAATCAGGGCATTTTATCACAATAGATCTGTGAAAGCTTAGTTGAGACCAAACTGACCATTTCAGCATCCAACAGCAAATACGTCATTTCAGCTTAACAACTGGCATTCAGAGTTTTCTGTTACTTTCCTAATGCCACCATGTATTGTTCACAGTATTTCCTGCAACTGTGTTATACTTATGCATATTTGTGTTAATGCTGCACTCAGATTGCCTCTCTCTAACCTGACTTAGCTGCTTAGCCCTCCAAAAGGCACCCCTAGGAGAAGCCATTATACAGACACATTTTCCATCATCATGTGTAAAAATGTAACCCAGAGTAAGTGCGATGTGTCAAACTTCCCACATGCATGGTGGAAGTAAATAAACCTTATAAGGACTCTCACAGCCTACACCAAGTAAACCCATGCAATAAAACAGGTTTCAAGTTTAGTTCATATATTTGAGCAATTTCAATAATGACACAGATCACATGGAAGTACCCCGAAAGGTCCTCCACAATAGTACTATATTACACACAATGGACTCTTTGGAGCTTTAAGACATGTTATAATATTTTGACTTCCTCAAAAACATACCAGAGTAACCCTTTTTTATTAGCCTATTAGTCATGTTCAAAGCTCAAAATGCTCTGTTCCACCTTGCAATGTCATGTAGTGGTAGTTTTCAAGTTAAGAGGTGCCTTTTACCTTTAGTTCAGTAGAGATTGTAAATTCCAGGGTTCAAATTATCCACATTATTTTAGTGAAGGTGTATGGAGTTTAAAAACACAGTGAAGCACATCATGTATTACCACATGACATCACAGGGTGGAATGAGTGATTTGGAGTATTTTGAGTTTGATGATGAGTTTGATGTATGTTTGTGACAAAAAAACAATATAACATTATAACAGAAAATAAAGTAATAAGGGCCCTTTAAGAACAGCCTCATTTTCAGTTAGGGATTTTGTAACACTGTAAATAACTGAAATGTTTTTTGTTTTTTTCATTCCTACAAGGGGCATGGCAGAAAGTGGTTGAAGAAAAACAAACATTCTAAAATCATACAGGCAGTAAGTAAGGCTGCGTTCACATTTGCCCTAGTTTGATCCTGCTCTATACTTGATTTGGTCCTGTTATAAGATTTGGCATAGTCAAGTTTCTGTTGCAGTTTTGTCCCAGCACAATTTTAGTAAGTCTGCATCAGGAGATTAAAACATTTTGCAAACACCTAAATTTGATGGCTTGACAACTGGTTCTTTAACTAGAGTTATTTCAGCTATGTAACAGACCAGAGATTTATAATAGCTGTACTTGTACATGCAGCGTGTAAAGTAAGGTAAGACTGACTAAAGAAGTCTGATTCCAATCACACGCACACACGCACACACACAGCTGGA